AGTAGCTTGCTGGGCTCTCCGAGTGGGGCAGAGGAATCAACCTGGCTCTGACAGACTTGTCGCACGCAAGGCAAAGGCCCTACCGCTGTGCTACTACTATCTTCTTTTTATTTTTTTAATTGCATAAATGCCTAGAATTGCATAGATGCTGAGAAATGGAATTAATAAATGATATGTAACTCATATTTTAGTTTCTGGAGTACCATCCCTACTAATTTTTTTTTATGATTATACCGTTTTACACTCACAATGAAAATGTCTGTGATCCCTTTCTGCATATCTTTTCCAACACTTGTTTCTTGTCTTAGGCATAGTGGTCAGTCAGTCTTATAGATTTGAGACCTTATAGGTGTGAGATCTCTCTTTTTGATTTGCATATCTCTAATAATAAGTGATGATATGTATCTTTACATGTGTGTAATGGCCTTCTGCATGGCTTCTTGGAGAAGAATCTATACAAATCAGCATTTTTAAAATTTGGATTTAATTTTTTTTGTTTTTTATTAGTTCTTTTTAATGTACTTTTTCTTTTTTTGCTTTTCTTACCATTAGAATTGAGTTCCTAAACATTATTCAAAGGATGATTTTAAGGAGTGTAATGCTCATGTTTGATTTTTTGTATTCTATTGTTCCAGATATTACCCTCAGACATTAAATCTATTTTGAACTCATCTGGGGTATGATTTTGGTCTAATTTCATTGTTTTACAATTTACTGACAAGTTTTACAAAAAGCATTTATTAAATAAGTACTCTTGCTTCACTGTAGGTATTTGAATCCCTTAATTTAAATTAGCTACCCAAGTATGTATAGTTTTATTTTTGAGTTCTCAAGTGTTCCATTGATCTGTGTATCTCTTTTTATTTAAATACTAGGCTATTTTAATTACTTGTAGTATAGTTTAAAGTTGGGTAGAATGAGGCCTTCATTTTAGTTCTTCTTGGGCTTGTTTGGCATTGTAAAATTTTAAATGCTATTTCTGTCTCTGAATATTAGTAATATATACAAATATAATGTTTTGAGATAAATTGTCTATTGTATTTCATTGATTTTTTAATTATAGTCTTCCATGTAGGGCCTGAGAAATAGCATAGTGGGTGGGGCATTTGCCTTGCACACAGCTGACCCAGGTTTGATTCCTCCGCCCCTCCCAGAGAGCCCAGCAAGCTACCTAGAGTATTCCATCCACAAGGCAAAACCTGGCAAGCTACCCCCGATGTATTTGATATGCTAAAAGCAGTAACAACAAGTCTTACAATCGAGACGTTACTGGTGCCCGCTCAAGCAAATCAATGGACAACCTGGTGACAGTGCTACAGTGCTACAGTCTTCCATGTAGTTTTCAGTTCTGTTCTCATAATCTCAGATAGGAACCGTGCTTTGATACCTTAAGAATGTTTACCCTGAAGATACGACTAGCTCATAGTGAGTTACCTGCTATTTTCTTCTCAAGATTTCATTGTTAAGCAGGTGACATTAGTAGTTTCTTCTCATCATTTCATCTCTAACAGCAGTTGCATGATCAATCAGGGCTGCTACTACTAACATCACTGCCACTTACAAAACACAAGACCATGGGGAGCAATCACTAAAGGAATAGATAATGGACAAAGTGTAAAGGATGTGAAAAACTTTAGGCAGCATAGAACTTTTTGATACATATATTTTAATATATTTCTTCACGAATCTAATTACAGAAAAACTTCTTTGTATAGTACCCCTATATTTCATTTTTTATGGTCTAGGTCTATATAATTTTGAGTTTTTTTCCTTCACTCGTTTTATTTTTAAAGACTTCTGAAGTTGAAGGTTTATTATTTAGTGTGTTGACCAAACCTAGCAGTACTCAGAGCCTACTCCTAACTCTGTGCTTGGGGGTTTCTTCTGTGCTCAAATCCAGGTCTTCTGCATGCATAGTATTTGCTCACTTCATTGAGCCAATTCTGTGGCCCTAAAAAAAAATTCTTGTTTTATATAGATAAGGTACTGTTATTTTGCTAAGAAAGTAAACGTGAGCTGTAGCTAGGATAAGAATATTGAATGCATACATTTCTATGATGATGGATATCTATTTTAAGGGTTATTTATAAGCTATGTATTAAATATGTGCATATATTAAAATGTATATAAAATATTTTTAGTAATGTAATACCCTCTGAAGAAGGTTCATATTATTTTTTTCCATTTATAGGTGACCAGACTGAAGTTTAGGTAGTGTAAAAAGGTTAGCCATGTAAATGGGGATTGTGACTAAAAAAGAAATTGAGATTCTATGTCCAATTTAAAGGCTATTCTTGAGTATTTAAAGTTACTGATATGTGTTCTTAGTAGAATAATAAAGACTATTCAAAGTTTAACTATTATAGAGTAAAATGTGGACATAGGCAAAAGTAAAAATTTGTCTTAACAGGCAAAAGTTGATTTTCAGTGCTTATCAAGAAGCATACAGATAACAACAGTTCAACAGAATTATCTGCAGAAATAAACCCTAGGTATTAGAATGCAAAAATTGTTATTTTTGTTTTGCTGTAATTTTACTGCCAAGTAAAATTAAGCATCACCACTTAAAGATGGCATCTTGAAATACACTTTTTGTCAATAGAGCCTGTGTTCTTTTGTCTTCTGATCATTAACAGTCAGAATATAGTCACAAATGGAATATTTAATAAGTTTTAATCCCTCACAGATTCTTTCTCATCATTTTTCTCACCACTTAGTTCACATATCCTTCTTTCTGTCATTTTCTATTCTTTTGCCTCATTCTTTTTTAAAAAATTTCTTTATTTTTGATTTTTGGGTCACACCCAGGGTTGCTCAGGGGTTACTCCTGGCTCTGCTCTCAGGAATTACTTGTGGCAGTGCATGGGGGACCATATGGGACACAAGAGATTGAACCTAGACTGGCCACATGCAAGGCAAATGCCCTACCCACTGTATTATCACTCTGGCCCCTTGTCTCATCCTTTTACATGGTAAAATGTATAGATATTTTAAGGTAAAGTTTTCTTTAACACATTGAATCTTCTGCTATAATTTCTGTTAATTCAATCACGTTCAAGTATGCATATGGCAATGTGTAAACATTCGCATCAGCATATTAATTATGGTATATAATACAAGGCATCTTATAACATTATGCCTTATGAATTACTTTCCTTATGGTCATTTTGCCGCTGTCTTCAGCCCCCAACATTCTCCTTTCTATTTATTTATTTATTTATTTTAATTGAATCACCGAGACATAGACCATTACAAAGCTGTTCATGATTGGGTTTAAGTCATACAATGTTCCAAACACTCATCCTTCCACCATTGTACTCTTCCCACTACCAATGTTCCCTGTTTCCCTCCCATCACCCCCACCCCCCCACCCTACCACCACCTACCACTATGGCAGGTACCTTTCTTATCCTCTCTTTCTCTCCCTTTGTGCATTTTATCCCTGTATGTTCAGCCTTGTTGGTCCAAGATTATGTCCTTCTGATCTTTCGAGATTTATTTATGGGTCTCTGGAGCAAGTCTGATAAATGCGCTTCATTCGCATAGACAGAGATGATTGGTGATCCTACATACTTAATTTCTGGCAGTTTTATTTCTCGAAAAACTTGACCCTGAATTTTTGGAATCCGGCCAGGGCAAAATGGCGATTTGAGAGTGTCAGGAAGGCTGAAGGCTGCTGATACCCTCGCCCCCATGTTCAGGAAGACCTGCTGGTGCTGCTGCATCCTTTGGGCCACAGTGGAAGCAGCGACCATGGCCTTAGTGGAACCAGGACTGAGGGCAGGGCCAGTACCATTCTCTGTGTGGGCCACAGCCGCCAGTTTAGCAGAACCTGCCCTGGGGCCGCACATGCCCCCTCCCCCCCTCCCATCCTCATTCTCCAGACTTGTCACTCAGGGAACTTTTTCTCCATAAGATGCTGCGGGAAGCACTGGTGGTATAGGCTGGTCAGGGGAAGAAATGGTGGCGGGGACATCCTGACCACACTGAGCTTCCTGACCCGGCCTCCCATAGTGGACCCCTGTGCCTCCACAAACTGGGCAGTAGTGTCAAGTTGAAGAGCCCTGTTCATTCATATTGAACCTTTGCTGCTACAGTGGCCTGCTGCGGGTGCTGCCACTACTTTCACGAGTCCCACTGTGGTCAGCACTCTGCAATGGCGCCGGTGCATTTCCATTTAAAGCCAGTCTTTTAGAGAGAAAATACTTAAGGGGCACTTACAGTCCTTCACGGAGAAATTTTATGACCCCAACAGCCCTGCTCACCAGCAGTTGCAGAGAATAGTTCATCCTCTTTCCTTACCAGTTGTGGTTATCCTTCCTTTTTTTTTTTTTTCAATTGAATCACTGGGAGATTTAGTTACAAAGGTTTTCATGTTTAAGTTTCAGTCATTCAAAAACCTATCCTTCCACCAATGCACATTTTCCACCACCAATGTCCTCAGTATCAATATCCTTTCCTTTCCTTCCCCTTTCATATGAATCTTTTTGGGAAAAGAAACTTGAAAAAACAATACTTTTGAAAACTTTTTTGCTACTTTAGTGAATTTCATTTTTTAAAATTAATATTTAAATACTAAATTAAATATTTCATATATTTTTCTCTTTATTTTCTTCTTTTATATTGTACATATCTTCTAAGGACAGTGATTTATGAAATCTTTTTTAGAAGTGATTCCTTCTAACTTGTCTTCTCTTAAGATTTTTCTTACATTTTTCTAAATTTTCCTCCAAAAATTGTTTTTTCTTATCATAAGTTTTAATTGTTCTCTTTTTCCATGCCCCTCTACCCCTATCAAGATAATTTTTGTAGAACTAGAAAATCAAAATACTGGAACCTTTATATATGTAATTATATGTTGTCTCTAATGTCAGTAAGTTTATTTTTTATTTGGTAGAGACTGACTGAATGAGCAATGAATAGGTAACTAAATGTCTTGCATGGCTATGGATATACAGGATAGTCTACTATTATTGATATTTTTTTCTTAATTTCTTCAGGAAAGAAAGGAGAGGCTCTCCAGATTTGAGTCTATTCGTCACTCAATTGCTGGACTAATTAGATCTCCAAAATCTTCGCTTTCCCCTTCAACAGTAAGTAAAATTAAGTGTTTACTGAAATAGTCATTGTTAAGCTCTCTCCTATATTGCAATGAATATCATGTGAAAAAATGGAAAATGTATTTAATTTTTTACATGTGTATTACACACAAGTAATAAGTATGTACATATAAAAAGCCCATGTAATATTGATACAGAAGGATATTTTCTACACATGCCATACTTATTGTGCATATAAGTAACGATTTGTATCCTCAGAATAGCATATCCAATTATTTTTGGTGGTAAACATGCAATAATAAGGATATTTATAGCATATTTCTTATTAAAGTTCATTTATGTTCATATTTTTAGAACAAAAATGTTCTAAGTATTGCAAAATTGGAACTAATGAATTTTGGGGTTTTGTGTTTTGTTTTGTTGGGGTGGGGAGGTGGAGTGTACACGCACCTATACAGTACATTGGCTCTGCACTCAGAAATTATTCCTGGCAGACCCGAGGTACCATGTAGAATACTGGGGATCAAACATGAGGCAGCTGCATGAAAGGCAAGTGCCCTTCCCACTGTAATATCTCTCCAGTCCCTGAATAATTAACCATTGAAATATGAGCTTGGCATATCACAGTTGTAAACAGACTGTATTAGTTATCCCTTTAACAGTAACAATGGTACAGGAGGCAATAAAAAGGTTACCTCAGTTATGTAGTAAAATTGTGTTTTCTCATTTTATTACTTTCAATTTTAGAAGTGTGTTGCAATAACAATTTATAAAAATATTGAGTATGGTCAAAAAAGTTCAGAATAAATTAGTTACATATGTTTCCCCCCAAGTTTTCAAGATTTTACATGAAATATTTTTATTTTATTTATGTAATTTTATTTTTTATTTACATCAAATATCTTATTTTTTTTCTTATTTTTTAATTTGCTTTTTATTAAGGCATCAGTTTCCAGTATTTTATAGTTGCATAGTTTGATGTCAGACTCTCCATCAGTGATTTCAGCTCTTTCCCTCATTATCCCACAGTCTTTTCCCCTTGTCTCATCCTCAATTTCAGGCTTCTTTTTACTGTATTTTGGAATTTATTTCCATTGGTGGTTGTCTAATCTATTTTTAATTCTACATATGAGTGAAGTTTTCAAAATTATTTTTTACTTTATTAATCACTTTATTTAGCATAACATCCTATAGTTCTTCCAAGTTGCAGCAAACATCATAATTTTATTTTTTATCATAGCTGAATAGTACTCCACTGGATTTATAGGTAATAGTTACTTCTTTTTCCTTTTAATTTATGTTTATTAAAACATCGGGATTTACAAAGTTACTCATAATACAGTTGTTTCAGGCATGCAGTGTTCCTGCATCCATCCATTCCTCAGTGTGTCAGTCCCTCCACTATTGTGCATAGTTTCCCACCCTCCAGTCTGCTCCCTTAGCAGTCAGACAGCAAATTTCATTCATATTGGTTGAACCAAGAAAACTTAGAGGATGGTGAATGGAATTATCAGAAAATAAATTCGTGAAAGTCAATTGATTGCTGTATGATTTTTAACCGATATAAAGAAATTAAAACCATTTAATGCAATATAATATGATGCCTATTCTCATTTACCTGAATAGGTTTTTTAATTTGGGATCTATAATATATTGCATTAAATTTTATTTTACACTTGGATTCATTATGGTAATAATCATGTCTTCCCTGTCACTGTCACTGTCCTCCCTTTGTTCATTGATTTGCTCCAGCGGGCCCAGTAATGTCTCCACTGTAACAATTGTTACTGTGGTTGGCATATCAAATACATCATGGGTAGCTTGCCAGACTTTGCCGAGGGCAAGATACTCTCAGTAGCTTGCCGGGCTCTCCAAGAGGGGCAGAGGAATTGAACTTGGGTCGGCCATGTTGGCTGCTTGTAAGGTGAATGCCCTACTGCTGTGCTATCGCTCCAGCCCATGTCTTCCCTATCATTATTAAATTAATTTTTTTTTACTTCTTTACTAATACAGTTTAATGTTTACATGAAATAGGTAAATAAAGCTTACAACTTTAAAATTCACTAAGAATTAAGAAAATTAAGGAATTTTATATAGGAAAATATGAATAGGTCTCTAAAACTACAAGTGTTTTATCCTAAGAAAGGAAATATTGGTTTTATGTTACAAATGCTGTTATAGATACTGCTTAAGTGTCTGCTAATGCAAACAAAAAATTGCAATTAAAATCTCTATGAATTTAAAAAATGACAAGAAATAACATTCAATATATTTCACACACACACACACATCCTTATTTATCCACTCATTTGTCATTGGACACATAGGTCAAATCCATATCCAAGCAAGTATATGAAATGCTGCAATGAATAATGCTGTGCGCATGTCAATTTGAATGAAATACGTTCTTTTGAATGAATGTTTTTGTGAATTGGAGGTAGATCCCTAAAACTGAAATTGCTGAGTCATATGGCAACTCTGTTCTTAACTTTCTGAGAAATCTCCGAACATTGGGGTCCAGAAAGGTCGAACCAGACAGCATTCCCACCAGCAGTAGATGAGAGGTCCTTATTCACCACATCCCAATACAGATGATTCCTTGTGGAGTTTTTTGGTATAGTCCACTCTTGCTGGTGTGAGATGACATTTCATTGTCATTTTTATTTGGATCTCCCTGAAGATAAGTATTAATGGATATTTTTTCACTTGTTGTTGACCATCCTTATATCCTCTTTGACAAAATGTCTGTTTATCTCCTTGTCCCATATTTTGATATAATTGTTTGGGTTTGTTATTGTTAAGCTTTGAGGGTGATTTATGTATCTAATTTATCACCCCTTTTTCTGATATATGGTGTGAAAATTCCCAATCACTGGGGTGATTATTTTAGGTCTTATTGCAGAAGCTTCTTAGTTTGATGTCCTATTTGTGTATGTGTGGGTTTTTTTTTTTTTGGTTTTGTTGTTGTTTGTTTGTTTTGGGGCCATATCCAGCAGTGATCAGGTATTACTCCTGACTCTGCTTTCAGGAATTACTCCTGGCAGTGCTTGGTGCTTTAGGGACTATATGGGTACTGGAAATCAAACCGAGGTTAGTCACATGCTATACTAAAGCAAATGCTCTATATGCTATACTATTGCTCTGGCCCTAGTTATTTCTTCTTCTTTCTTCTTTACCAGTAAAGCTGTACCATTGAAGCTTGTTCGAAAATTAGGGATTTTGAAGGGTTCTACCTATGATTTCCTGAATTTATTACATGGAGGAAGATTTCATATGAACATCGTTAATCCATTTTGAATTCACATTTATCAAGAGATGGGGGCCAAAATTCACTTGGTTTGCTTGTGGCTAACCTATTTTCCCGGCATCACACATCTTTCCCCTTAAGTTTGAGGATTTGTCTCTGGAATCTCATTTCTATTACAATAGTGTGAGGGCTTTTCGTTGTTCCAGTACCATGTAGCTTTGATTATTATAGCTTTGCAGTAAAGATTAGTCTTGTAAACTAATGCCTCCATTGTTAATTTTCCACAGATGTTGACTGTACATGACATTTTATGATTTCATGCAATATAAATAGTTGTTCTATGTCTATTTTGTTCAAAAGATTTGAGTAATAAATAGGAGATAGGCCTTGAAAGATACTTACTTTACATGGAGCTTTTAGCCTCTGATCATTTTTATCATCATTTATTATTCCTCATATGAGATGACTTGAACTGGTTTAGACCTCCCAATCTATCCTATGGAACACTGTCATATTCATAAGTGACAATGGCAACTGTGAAGGCTAAGATATATATATATAGATATACTTTTTATATAAAATATAATTTAATATTAATGTTTTTGATGCTTTGTCTCAATTGTATAGAATTATTGTTTGAATTGAATACGTAAATAACTTTTATATTAAAAGGAGTAATTCGATGGTTTGGAAATAAATACTTTCTTTTTCTAAACAGGAATAGGTTATATTAAATAACAAAACTTTTAAGAATTATGGATACCATTCCCAATAGCACATACGAATGATGGAGGTTTGCACTTCCCCTCCATAACCACTGCTGGCCCAGACCTAATTCACCACAGCCCTCCACCACACAGATAGTGCAGTTTACACGCCTGGAATTAAGGAAAAAGGATCAGTCAAACAAAGGAGGGCTCACTACCACTATGTTTCTATTTCCTTATTTCTTACTGCTTTAGGAAGTGAGCTACCATTTTCACTAAATGGGTCTTTTGTCTCCTTTGTTAGATTGATTCATAAATATTTGATATTTCCCTTAGCACAGTCATGAATGGCATAGTTAAATAAGTAATAAATGGAATAGTTAAAAGACTTTCTCTTCTGCATCAGTGTTTGCCTATAGGAATGCAGAATGATCTGTATTGAGTAGTGTGCTACTCTCTGCATAGGCTTTTAATTTCTCAGATTGTTTTGACAGAGTATTGAGGTTTTCATTGAATTCTAGAGTATAATCTGAGTATAGTGATATTTAATGTCTTTCCCAAGTTGGATTTTTTTATTTTTTCTTTCTTGACTATATGCAGAAACTAGGACTCAAAGAATATATTGCTTAATAGTGGTAAAAGTAGACTCCCTTGTTTTTGTGCCTGATCTTAGAGGAAAGGCTTTCAGTTTTTCTTCATTATGGAGTGTATTAGTTTTGTAATTGTTGTATGTAGCACTTATAATATTGAAATTTTAAGAAAATATTGCCTCAACCGTCTATAAAATGTTGTTTGAATTGAATATGGGGCATAATTAACTTTAAAGTAAAAGTTACTTTAGTTCCTATATTTTTGAGGGTTTTCATCATAAATGGGTACTCAATCTGTCAGATACTTTCTCTGTCACTATAGAGATGGTCATGTAGTTTTTATTCTTCCTCTTATTAATGCGATCTAATCACATGTGGGCATTATTTTCACTTTCTGGCTATTATGATAAATGCCACAGTGAACATTAAAAAACAAGTTTTATTTGAACATGTAGCCTCAGTCTTCTAAGTTATTCCCAAGTAATAACCATATGCTAATTCTATGTTCAAGTTTTGAGGAACTGCCAAATTAATTTTTAAGTTATTTGCATCATTTACACTCCTACCAGCAGTGTCTGAAATGGCACATCATCGACTTGTATTTTTTTTCATTTTCCTAATCACTGGTGATGTTGAACCTCTTTTCTTATGTAAACAAGCCACTTGAGATATAATATAAAAATGCCTTTATCATTTCTTGGGCTATCTTTATATTTTCTTGTGTCTTATAATACAAATGTTTTTAATTTTGATGTCAAATTTGTGCACTTTCATTTCTTATGTAAACAAGCCACTTGAGATATAAAAATGCTTTTATCATTTCTTGGGCTATCTTTATATTTTCTTGTGTCTTATAATACAAATGTCTTTAATTTTGATGTCAAATTTTTGCACTTTCATTAATTGTAATATCTAAAAATTTTGTTGTTATATCTAAAAAACCATTACATAATTTAAAATCAAGAAGATTATTACCTGTTTCTTTCTGAAAGTTTTATAGTTTTTGTTACTCTGTGTGTGTGTGTGTGTGTGTGTGTGTGTTTGTGTTTTGGGAGGTATATTATAAGCTAATAAGGGAAATAGAGGTCCAAACTCATTTTCTTAGGTTTCAAAGAATGTTTAACTGAAGCAATTCAAAAGCAATAATAAAAATCAGTTTTTGACACAAGAATACAGTAATAAAGCATACACAGTGGGTAGGGCGTTTGGCTTGCATGCGGATTCGATTCCTCTGTCCCTCTCGGAGAACCTGGCAAGCTATCGAGAATTTCCTGTCCACATGGTAGGGCCTGGCAAGCTCCCCATGGCAGATTTGATATGCCAAAAACAGTAACGACAAGTCGAAGTGACATCTGCACTTGTTTGTTCATTGCAGCACTCTTTACAATAGCCAGAAACTGGAAGAAACCTGAATGCCCAAGAACAGATGACTGGTTAAAGAAACTTTGGTACATCTACACAATGGAGTACTATGTAGCTCTTAGAAAAGATGAAGTCATGAAATTTACATACAAGTGGTACAATATGGAAAGTATCATGCTAAGCGAAATGAGTCAGAAAGAGAGGGATAGACATAGAAAGATTGCATTCATCTGGGGGATATAAAGTAACAAAGTATGAGATTAATACCCAAGAATAGCTGAGATCAGCACCAGAATGATTACTCCATAACTTAGAGGCCAGCCGGGTATCCTAGAGGAAAGGGCAGTTCAGATAGAGAAGGGAGCACCAAATAAAGTATGTTTGGAGGATCCTCCCAGGAGGGGAGATGCATGTCGAAAGTAGACTATGGACTGAACATGTTTGCCACTCAATGCCTCTTTTGCAGACCACAACATCCAAAAGGAGAGAGAGAACACAGGGGATTGCCCTGCCACAGAGACAGGGGGGATGGGGGGATGGGGGTGGGAGGGATATTATCTATGGTGGTGGAAAATGGGCACTGGTGGAGGGATGGGTATCTGATCATTGTATAATTGAAACCAAAGCACAAAAAATTGTAAATCTACAACTTTAAAAAAAATAAATAAAATAAAGGGGGAAAAAAAAGTCTTCCAATAGAGACTTTACTGGTGCCCTCTTGAGCAAATCAATGAACAATGGGGGACAGTGCTACAGTGCTGCAAGAATGGAGTTTTGACACAAATAAAAAAGATGTGATAGGTATAATAGTAGAATATCACTCAGATATTTTAAAAAGATGTTTTCTTTCTTTTTTGGTTTGTTTTGGACCATACCTGATGTTACTCAGGACATACTATCCCTAGCTCTGCACTCAGGGATTACTCCTGGTAGAGTTCACGGGACCATATGGGGTGAGAATCAAACCTGGGTTGCCCCATATAAAGCAAGTAAGATTATGCACTATCTTTTTGATGCCAGAAGTCTTTCCATTTTTGACAGTATGATTGAAACTTGAGATTTATTATGCTAATAATTTATTATGAAATAATACAAGTGAAGAAAAAAGATATGATTTCATATTTGGTATTCAATAAAAACTGGAATCTCAGTGATAAAATTTGGTACCTGTAGCTTTTGAAATTTAAAGCTGTATGTCTGAAAATTAAAAATAAACCCACTATATAAACTATGCAATATAGGTAATAGTTAAGAATGCCTGAAAAATAATAAGAGTGATAATGATAGATTATAATGATAATGATAAACAAGATAAGAAGGCACAACAGCATACCAATATTAAGCTAAGGTTTCCATACACACCTTAGGTGACAGAATAAAAAAGTCAATTCCATAGAAAGAAAGACTTTTAATAATAAGTTTGCAGATAAGTGTCTCTTATTACTCATTTTGAAGTTTAATTATCTCATCTATAAATTTTAAATACATGCATTTATTTATCTGGTGAATAAAACCCTATGTGCTAACTCTAAATGCTAATATTATGTGCTAGGCAGAAAAAACAAATAGATCTCATGTATTGAGGAGAATGTATTTGCGTTAAACGTAAGCACCAGTGCCATGGAAGATGTTTGCTTTACAATTTTGAACTTTCAGATTCTTCTTACAACTTTTCATTGGTTAGTTAGAAGGGATATATGTAAGAAGTATTTATATTTGGTATGCATTTTGCCATAAGAAAAGAATAATTACTTTGTCTAATGCGGTTGCTCTACTTTCTAATATTTCTTCAAGTTTTGTGACACTACCCCGACAAGTGAGAAGCCCCTGACAGAGCAGGACTGGTACCATGGAGCAATTCCCAGAATAGAAGCGCAAGATCTGTTGAAGCAACAAGGAGACTTCTTGGTGCGAGAAAGCCATGGGAAACCTGGTGAATATGTCCTTTCTGTCTATTCTGACGGACAAAGGAGACACTTTATCATCCAATTTGCTGATGTACGTTCCCATTTGTATATGTTTAATTAGTGTAGCAAATTGTATTTTATTGTAATTGTAGTAAAATGATGGATCATATGATAATACCATAATGCTAGTTGGCTACTTGAATTTTTCTGACATTAATTTGAGGAATAGTTCTTCCTCAAATACAGTAGTCTAAATTCACTGCAATGTTACTGTAAGTGAGTATAAAAAAATTATTGGATCGGAGAGATGGTATAGCATGTAATGTACTTGCCTCGCTTGTTGCTGACCTGGATTTGCTCCCTGGAGTACACAAGGACCCAGGAGCTGTATCGGGAGTGATCCCTAAACACAGAGTCAGGAATAAGCTCGTATCACAGTTGAGAGTTTCCCTCCCCCCTTAAAAAAAAACCAGTTATTGATATTTCAATTTCGTGGAAAAGCTTAAAGAGTATTGGGAGTAAGTCCTCTTTAAAGATTTGGAAGAATTCACTAGTGAATCCATCCGGGCCAGGACTTTTGTGCTTGGGGAGACTTTTTATTACCATTTCAATTTCCTTGATGGTGATAGGTCTGTTCAGGTATTCCAGGTCTTCTTGGTTCAGCCTTGGGAGTCTGTAGGAGTCTAGGAATTTATCCATTTCCTCGAGGTTTTGATGTTCCGTGGCATAAAGCTTCTCAAAGTACTCCCATCAGACCAGAAACCATAAGGTACATTGAAGATAAAGTTGGCAAAACCCTCCATGACATTGAAGCTAATGGTATCTTCAAAGATGCCACGCCACTGGCCGAGCAAGTGAAAACAGAGATAGATAAATGGGACTATCTTAAACTCAGAAGCTTCTGCACCTCCAAAGAAACAGTGACCAAAATAGAATTACAGTCTACAGAATGGGAAAGGATATTCACCGAATACACATCTGACAAGGGGTTGATATCCAGGATATACAAAATACTGGTTAAACTCCACAAGAAGAAAACATCCAACCCCATCCAAAAATGGGGCAATGAAATGAACAGAAACTTTCTCAAAGAAGAAATCCGAATGGCAAAAAAGTACATGAGAAAATGCTCTACATCATTAATCATCAGGGAGATGCAGATCAAAACCACAATGAGATACCATCTCACACCTCAGAGACTGGCCCAAATTCAAAAGAACAAAAGCAACCGATGCTGGCGTGGATGTGGCGAGAAAGGGACACTCCTTCACTGTTGGTGGGAATGTCCACTGGTTCAGCCCTTCTGGAAAACAGTATGGACGATTCTCAAAAAATTAGAAATTGAGCTCCCATTTGACCCAGCAATACCACTCCTGGGAATATATCCCAGAGAGGCAAAAATGTATAGTCGAAGTGACATCTGCACTTGTTTGTTCATTGCAGCCCTCTTTACAATAGCCAGAAACTGGAAGAAACCTGAATGCCCAAGAACAGATGACTGGTTAAAGAAACTTTGGTACATCTACACAATGGAGTACTATGTAGCTCTTAGAAAAGATGAAGTCATGAAATTTACATACAAGTGGTACAATATGGAAAGTATCATGCTAAGCGAAATGAGTCAGAAAGAGAGGGATAGACATAGAAAGATTGCATTCATCTGGGGGATATAAAGTAACAAAGTATGAGATTAATACCCAAGAATAGCTGAGATCAGCACCAGAAGGATTACTCCATAACTTAGAGGCCAGCCGGGTATCCTAGAGGAAAGGGCAGTTCAGATAGAGAAGGGAGCACCAAATAAAGGATGTTTGGAGGATCCTCCCAGGAGGGGAGATGCATGTCGAAAGTAGACTATGGACTGAACATGTTTGCCACTCAATGCCTCTTTTGCAGACCACAACACCCAAAAGGAGAGAGAGAACACAGGGGATTGCCCTGCCACAGAGACGGGGGGATGGGGGGATGGGGGTGGGAGGGATATTATCCATGGTGGTGGAAAATGGGCACTGGTGGAGGGATGGGTATCTGATCATTGTATAATTGAAACCAAAGCACAAAAAATTGTAAATCTACAACTTTAAAAAAAATAAAATAAAATAAAGGGGAAAAAAAAAACAGTTATGCATTAAAGTCATTTTTACGAATTTACATTTTAATTATAAATATTTAAAATACCCCCAGTTAAATTTTAACACTGAACACTGAATCTATTTTAAATTAAAGATGTGAAAAAAGAGTGTAAATACTATTTTTACACTTTTTTTGGGGGGGAGAGAAAGTTATTAATGAATTGTATGCTTTTGAAACTATCCTTAAACTATCTCTTGAAAATGGTGCAGAAGGGCTGACACGATGTCCTTGTGACTAGAGTGCTTTCTGGTACCACAGCTAACTAAGTATAGGATTTCTTTCTGCTGCATCATCACCAAAGGTAGGGCACCTCAGCCATGGGGAGCTCTCCAGAGCCAGGATTGCTACCCCATTCATTGTCCCAGCAAAGGGAAAGGTAAGGGGAACCGCAAAGCACCGAAGTTGGTGTCACAATATATTGTTAAGAAATAGTTTAGTATTGAATAAAAATCCTTAATGAGCAAGTTAATGATAGTTAATTAGAGTTGTCTCCCCATGTATAGTAATTACTTTCTGGCATTAGCATTAATTTTTAATTGAAATTTAAAGAGTATTTATAGTGCTTCTAAACATACTTTGTTATTTTCTTCAATGGGTATTAAACAAGTACAGTGTAATCACCATTTTTTGCTTTGTTGTACCATTATTGTTTGATGAATCTCAAAATGTTTTAAGTAATTTAATTTTAATATCTATTATTAATTCATTAGAAGATTTATACATTGAGTCTCACATTATATCCATCTTTAAGTGTGTCAGGATATTTTTCTAGTTATCAGTCGTAGGACATTTTACAAACCTTATCAGTCATAGGACATTTTGCAAACCTTGTTTTGGGGTGATGTAAGTGAAAACAGGTAGGTGATGAAGGCTGGAGCAATAGCACAGCGGTAGGGCATTTGCCTTGCACGCAGCCAGCCCGGCTGAGCCGGGTTCAATTCCTCTGCCCCTCTCGGTGAGCCCGGCAAGCTATTCTGAGTATCTTGCCTGCATGGCAAAGCCTGGCAAGCTACCAATGGCATATTCGATATGCCAAGCACAGTAACAACAAGTCTCACAATGGAGACGTTACTGGGCCCACTCGAGCAAATCGATGAACAATGGGAGGACAGTGACAGTGATTATAGTACATAATACTCATTATATACACAATAATACATAATTCCATGTAATATATATTATCAAGCATTATATACATAATATATACATGCATGTGATATGTATTACCAATCCTGGAATATATATCTTTGATTTAAAATAGGCATATGGGGCTGGAGTGCTAGCACATTGGGTAGGGTGTTTGCCTTGCATGTGGCAGCTGACCTGGGTTCGATTCCCAGCATTCCATATGGTCCCCCAAGCACCACCAGGAGTAATTCCTGAGTCCAGGAGTAACCCCTGTGCAACACCGGGTGTGGTCCAAAAAGCAAAAAAAATAAATAAATAAAATACGCATACTCAGGACCCGTCAATTGGGTGGCTGCATGTGAGGCAGTTCCTTACCCTCTGCACTCACCCTCTTCCCCTAAACTCATCTGCTGCGTACTCTAGCAGGCCTTGTTTCTAACAAACTTTTAATAATTTGTATGTACATCGTAAATTGTGGATCCAGGTAGTCTTCTCATGCAATTGATATCCACCTTGTCACTATTTATAAACTGAAAGAGAAGAGTAGAAGGAAATATCATAAGTAGAATATAAACTAGATACAAGTTATATGAATGTTTCCTTTTTTAAATTGCCATTTTTAGGAACATAGTGTAAAATAAACTTAAATCACTTTTAAAATAGAACTATTGGGTATAAATTAATTTTCTTACAAATAAAAATATTTTTGGAAATTACTTGCCTTTAGTATTCTATTTTAAGTGTTGTAAATTAACAACACAATATTTTTGTATGAAAAAACATTGTCACAATTTCACATTTGAAAATTGTAATTGATTTCCTTTGGCCATAGAAATCATGCCGAATTCTCTATTAAAGATGAGAGTGCATTTTTTATCAGTGAATGCCTCAGGGTTTTGCTCTCGAATTTTAGTACACATTCATTAATAATGTTCTCGTCAATAAATTGAAAATAGTAATTAAGGTTAATCTAACTCTTTGGTGAATTTTTATTAAATTTCACTCTGTGTGGATAGCACAACAGTAGGGCGTTTGCCTTGCCTGCGGCCAGCCCAGCCTAGCCGGGTTCAATTCCTCCACCCCTCATGGAGAGCCCAGCAAGCTACCGAGAGTATCTCGCCTGCACAGTAAAGCCTGGCAAGCTCCTCAAGATGTATTCAATATGCCAAACACAGAAACAGCAAGTCTCACAATGTAGACGTTACTGGGCCCACTTGAACAACTTGATGAACAATGGGAGGACAGTGACAGTGACAGTTCACTCTGTGCAAATTAATATTCTAAACGATAACCTTGTTTCTTTCCTCAAATATATGTTGCCTGAAAGGTAATCAATAAGTGAAATTTATTAGCAGATATTTAATGATTGCCCATTATATTGAAAATAATGAGTTTATAATCCAGTACTAGGTTATTAATGTATTCATAAATGAAGGGATAAGCTTATTAAGAGGGAATGGCAGAAGAAAGTACATGGGATTTTAGAAATGAAAAAAGATATAAATTAATGGATTATTGAAAAATGCACAAAAATCCTTTGATTTCAGTCCCAATCTTATTCTTTGTACTATGTGGTTTGGGAAATAATGGGCTCTACAATTACTGTTAGTAGCAAATTAGTAAATACATGCTTTGTAAGTTTTCAAATGTTATTCAACTATTTGACTTTTTAATGGTTTTTGTGACTTGAAAATATATAGATGTTTATGTTTAAAGCTTACTTTGGGAAAGAGTTTGAAAAAATCTATTAGAAAATTCATTTTGGATTCTCTGGAATCTGTATAATTGAATTAGTAAGAAAGTACTTTTGAATGTATATGTTTTGCATATTTAGCTTTAAGACATTTACTGATCACAACTGGTGTTATTTTTAGCAACTTTTCTGTGTTTTGTTTTAATTTGAGGCTATACTCAGCATTACTTAGGGCTTACTTCTGACTTTGTGCTCAGGGATTACTCCTGGTGGTTCCGTTCTCAGGGAACCAGGAGCAGGGATCAAGCCCTGGGCTGTGCCTGGAAGGCAAAGCACTTTAACCTCTCTGGTGTCTCTCTGGTCCTGACATTTGATTAATATTATTCTAGATTGCCTGCCAATCCCTGGTGTGTTTTGCTTTCGTTAGTTGTCTATAAATGTTTAATGTTTCTTTTTCATTTGAGAGGTATGATTTTTGTTTCATATTTTTAGCTATTTTACCCACATAAGGATATTTTAACCTTCCTTTTAAAGTTTAGTTCACTCCTTTAAGTTTTACTTCAGAAATAATGTTTCCTTCTTTCATTTTTCCTTTTATGTTTAAAGCTTACTTTAACCTCAGTTTTCATTTTAATACTTATTTTGGCATAATATTTCAAACCACATCTTTATTGAATTTTTTTATCATTTTTATATGCTAGTTCTGTTTTGACTGGCTTCCTTGCATAATAATAGCCTTCTGGGAATTTTTATTGAAACAAGTCAGATTCACCTTTTTAAGTGTATGTGCTCATGTGTGTATGATCAGGTTTGACATCTGAACATATGATTAATTCTTTAGCAGCATATCTTAGTAGCAAATTTAAGGTGTAGTAAATGTCTTAAAAGTAAAAGTAGTCCATGTTCTTGGTAAAAATTTAGAGATAGGTATCATGGAATACATTGTTCATAACAGACTCATATGGGTTCAGTGTATATTCTTCGAAAATCTAAAAGTATATTATAATTAATATATCTAGATAATTTTTAAGTTACAAAAATAGTTGATATTAAATTTTACTTCTTATTTTTACACAGTTCATGATCTCTAAATATAAAAAACTTTGTTATATACTACTATTGCTTGCTTCCTTCATAATTTAAGAGATCATTAGCAGCAGCCTTAGTTCTAAAGAGAAGTTTCCTTTTTTTTTTTTTTTTTGGTGGGGTCAGAGGCCCAACTGTGCTCCTGGATTATTCCTGATGGTGCTTGGAAATTTATGGGGCTTGGGGGATTGAATCCGGGATTGATCAAATGCCAGGATAGCGTCCTGCCTACTGTACTATCTCTCCAACCCTTAATAAGAAACTTCTTATTTAAAAGTTATAATCCAGCCCAGGTCACCTGAGCTACAATAAAGGTTATAGATATTCAACCAAGGCTAAATAATATCTTTATATTTTTATTATAAATATATTTTATAATATTTTTATGTTTCAAGTATAATTTTAAGTGTAAAGAAAAATAAGCTCTTAATAGTTTTAATAATATACTCATTTTTGACCTTATGGCTTCCCCTCTACCCTTGTTGCTTTTTGTCAGTGTTGTCCTTGTTGTGCTCTCAGGGGCCACAGAGTTGGTCAAAGTCCTTGCAAACCTGCTGTCTCTCCAGGTGTTGCATATATGTCTGGCAGATTCCTTTTTGTTTGTTTGGGGGCCAAGCTGGAGGTGCTCAGGACTTATTCCTGGCCCTGTACTCAGGGCTCTTTCCCAGCCTCCCTCTGAGGAATATAGCACTGATCTTTAAGTCGGCTGCCTTCAGCTGACTTTTGTTAGGATATGGTATCATTTTAAAACTCGTTTTTAATCACCATATTTTAAAAATGAATTAATATGCATTGTTCTTTGTTAAGACTCTTGAAATCCCTCGATGTCAAAGTGATTGCTCTCAAAAATTATATTTTGGGAGCAGGTCAGCTAAAGTGCTTTCCTTGCATAGACATGATCTGGGTGTGATCTCCAGTTCCACATATGTGCCCTGTGCCCCACCAAGAGTGGACACTTAGTGCTAATCTAGGAAGACCTGTGTAGCCCCAAACCAGAAATAAATATATTAATAAAGTTTAGTTCATAAAGAAAGTATTGTTGCTTAGAACACTCTGTTAACTATGCCAATGATAAAAAGCTGTCTTTAAATTAAAAGTTATATTTTTTCTATTCACTGTCTTTCTGGTTATATTAGAATTTTGCATATAGCAACCTGATACTAGTGGCTATTTTGAAATTTTATTTTTGAGAATATCTTTTTATTCTTTACCAAATATTGTAATTTGATTTCTCAAATCTATATAGGTATATGAATTTTCTATGTTCGTTTCTAGATTAAATAATCCTGTCTCTTTAATACTATATTTTACATACATATGTTATATGTCATTTATTTACAAATGTTTATTCAGACACTATATGCCAGTAGTGTTCTAAAAATGGGGAAACTGATAAACCAATCAGATGTAAAACTTTATCATCTCTCTTAACATACATTCAAAAGGAGAGAACGACAATGAAGAAGATGAAGCAATAGTATCTTTTTAAATATGCATACATATAGATATAAGTATCTATATATATATATCTAAGAAGGTGATATTTAATCAAAGAAAGTAAGGCAGTATTACCCAAGTAACTACTTGAGGAATTATTTCAAGCAGAAATGGTATATGTTTTCTATGTAAAACAAGGAGGAAATGAGAATGGTTGGAAGGGGAGGGATAGTGATGAGAGAAAATAATGTCAAATTGCATTCATAGAATTTGGACTGCTATGTTAATAGAAGAATGAAAGAAGACTATGTTTTCCTTTCCTGAGGAATAATTAACAAAATCATTACATATATTTAAAGTACACAGCATCACAATTTGATACACATTGCTCGTGGTAATAAAAAAAGTAAAGTATCTAACATATCTATCACTTTGACAGTTAACTTACTGTCCCCTCCCTGTTTAATGTGTAAACAATACTTAAGATTTATTCCCTACAATTTTCAAGTTCAGAAAGGTACATATTTGGTTGTAATAAATATTTTTTTGGTTTGTTTTTGGTTTGGGGGCAACACCTAGCAGTGCTCATGGCTTACATCTGTGTTCAGGATGAGGTCAGGGGACCATATAGTGTCCTGGGGATTGAACCTTGGTTGGCCATGTACAAGGCAAGTGTGCTAGTGCTTTTCTATCTCTCTAGCCCCTCTTTGGTTGATATATTGTTATCAATATTTTTATTGGATTTACACATCTATAATGCCTTTTTGGATATTTGACAATTTGTGTATAATGGTTATTCCTTAAGAAAAGGTAATTTATATTTTTAAATGTTCTTCAAAAATGCTACTTTTGATTGATCTATATTTGAAGTTACATTTATAATCAAGGTTAAATATTTGTATGATGGATTGTAATTGAGTATATATACTAATATATTAGAATATTTGTTTGCATGTTAATACATAATTACTACAGGGCTCAAATTTATTTCTTAAGGATGTCCAAACATTATTTATTTCACTAACAGATTAATGTAGATACTCTAATGTCTGCAAAATGAAATATTCTTAAGTATCATTATATATCATAGCAGGTCTGACTGTGATATACAAAAATTTTCTGTAGTTCAGTGTCAAAGAAGGCTAATGCGTGTATGTTCCTCACTTAATAAAACACGAATACTTATTGAAAATGCTTTATATAAATTAAATTCTGGTAAGTTGTATCTTTATAAATTAAATTCTGGTAAATTGTATCTTCTTTATACTGTGCAGAAGGAAGTTTTGAGTTCTTTCTTTCATGTGGCACAATCTTCGGTTAATATTAATTTTGCAAAGGATACTATAACAGTGCTTGTGAAGCCAGGAGTCCTGCCTTCCCATGATTGCCATCGAGCTGACCAAGTGGAGATTCAGTGTGAGGGCCTGAGGAGGTGGTGATCCCGAGGCTTACCTAGTAGTACTAGGGGATTCCAGGGCTTCCATGTGGTCCTGGAGATAAACTGGTACCATGTGCAAGGCATGTTTCTTAGCTGCTAGACTGTCTCTCTGGCCCTTCTGATTTACTTTCACAATCTTAACCATTTTAAAGTATATATGTTGTTTAGTAATGTTCAGTATATTCATATTGTTGTGCATAACTAATTTTTTTATTAAACTTAATTCTTGCTGAAGGAATGTCTTTATAATTATTCTAGTTTATTCTTTTTCAGAATCTGTATCGATTTGAAGGCACTGGGTTTATAAACATCCCTCAACTGATAGATCATCACTATACAACAAAACAGGTTATCACAAAGAAATCAGGCGTGGTTCTACTGAATCCTATTCCTAAGGTAGGTGCGAATATATAATTACTTTTATTGTTATTTTGCTTAGAAGAATGCCTTTCTTACCTATGTCAGATTTAGGAGAATTATATTAGAAAGACCCTGGTGGGATCTCTTTCACCTCTAGCCTCAAGGGAGGTAAAAGTGTCAATCCCTCAAGTCACACTTTGTCTGCTGGTGCTGACATTAGTCCCTGTCTCAGGGAAGCCACTGACACTAGGCTGGAATGACAGGGAACTTATGTTTTTACATAAAACTCTTTTACAAGGGGAGATGTGAAAAGTGGCTTCCACCAAAAAGTCCGGGTTCTTTTCTTCATCAGATAAAGAATTTCAAGGCATCATGGCGTCGAGATAAAGCAGAAAAACTTATTGAAGTGATAGTTTATACCTAGGCCATGGTATTGCACACCAGATATGGTACAAGAGGTTTAAGGGAGAAGTTAACTAAGTGAGGGGCATGTTAGTGTTAATGTTGCACATGTATATAAGAACTACATGCTTGCTCAGATATCACCTGCATGTAACATTAACACATATTTATGCACCTGGGGATAACATGAGTTAATGTGTGTTTGGGCTTACAGAAAAAAGTGAAATAGGATCGGGCCATTGTTTTCTGTGCATGCTTTAAAAACTTGCTGGGACTCATTTCCTTTCATTGAGAACATAATATTCTCAAGGCTGTCTTGACATGACGTCCTAAGGCCCCTTTCTTCTGTTTAGACATATGATGTAATCATTTTTGTTTCTTTTAGCAGTTTTTTCATGCTGCCCCCCCATGTTTCTTTGAATAATAACATTTCCTGTAACAAAGTTCTTAAGTTATTTATAGAAATTTGGAAACAAAAGGCTTTGTCATTCTGTTAATACTGATGTGGTTGGTTCCTGGGATATCATTCACTTTGTTAAGATGGTTTGTTGTATTATTTAGCATTTCTTGCTTACAAGAATGTTTTGTTGTTGTTATTGGTTTTTCTATTTTGGGGGGGGGGGGTGGCGCAACTGACTGTGCTCCGAGTTTACTCTTAACTCTGTACTCTGGAATTACTTCTGGTGGTGATCATGGGACCTTATGGGATGCTGGGGATCAAACCTAAGTTGGCTGTGTGTAAGGCCAATACCATACCTGCATACTATCATTCTGGCCCCAAATAATGTTCTTTTTTCTTCCTAATATTTTTTGAATTATTGAAGACTTGAGTTTATAACCAGATTTTAAAATTACAGCTTATAAAATATTTTAAGATATTATAAGTCAAAGAAAATGTTCAGCATTTTAAATAAATGGAATTTTCAATTTTGTTTATGTTTGAGGAACATACATTCTGGTGTTCTAGGGCTACACCTGCTCCATGCTCCCGGTCACTCATGTAGTGCTGGAGATTAAAGCAAAGCCCCTCATGAAGAACATGCCTGCAGACAATTAAGCTATTTTTCTGACTCTGAGTAAATTAGAATCTTCCTTTGGGATGTTAAGCTGAGTCTGACATTGGACTTTGGAACTCTACAATGCATACTACACTGTTCTTGGGGCAATTCATAATAACTTGGATCATTAGTGTCAGGTGACAAGGTGAAAGTTTACAGAGGTTATTTTTATGAATCATGTAATAATTTAATGGCATTTTAAAGACTTGGCAAGTAGTGAATGAATGCCAGGTAGGTTTTTTTTAAAAAAAATTAGTTGTGGGGTACCTTCCAGGTAGTGCACAGGGGTCTGGGGGCCACTACCATCAGTTAGTAGTTCCATGGGAGGACCCAAGGAAAAGGTTCTTCTCATATCCCTCCAATGATGACCCCAAGCTCCTGTGGCCTTGGACAGAAGCATCCAAGGCCACACTTTGCAGGACTTTGGTGCAACAACAATAAAGTTTGTAGTCTTAAAGGTAAAACATAGGAGACCTGGAACAAAGCTGAACATTGGAGATGGCTTAGTTTTTGAGTTTTTTTGGTCTTTCATGTATTGGTTTGCCATTGGTGAGAGTCTTTTTTTTTTTTAAATCATTTTGGCATTTATCACGAAGCACAAATTAGAAATGAGAAAACTATAAAACCTAGCTGCTGTCCTCGCCGGGGCCCTTTGGAGTGGAGTCGGTTGAGTTTCCCTCCCCACCCTGACCAGGGCTCCAGCAGCTGAAGACCTCCAGAACCAGCCACCACCATGCTGAGACCACTCTCCACACGCATGAAGGTACTGGCAGAGGAACAAAAGCATGCGGGTACCGGGGCTGAGATCTCCAAGCCTGCTCGGATCAGGGCTGAGCATCCTCCACCCAGATCCTCCATATTACAGTAGGCAGGGGTCACATCCACCAACTGGCCCCCTGGCGCCATGTAATCCCATCAACGGCCAAGACCCAGAGGCTATAAAACCCAGCTCCTGCAAGCACACGCCACTTTTGCAGCCACGCTACATCTTATTATCTCATTCTTACTTTGGACAAACTGGCAGGCTACCAGATATAACCTGCCCACACGGCAGATTCTAGCAAACTCCCCGTGGTGTACCCAATATGCCAAATACCAGTAACAATGATAGGTATAATTCTCCTAACCCTGAAAAATCTTTGAATATGGAGAACATTTTCCCCAGGATACTGCTTTGTAATTCATATTCAGCTAAGAAAGTTAAAAACAGTTATGTTTTTCTTTGTTAATCTAAAACATAATGTCTAAAATTTTACTTGTATATTAATCAAACTTTAATTTTTCTCTCATAGAAGAATTTGACAGTCTAATTTTGCGATGAACGCATTTTTTGTTTTTGTATTGTTATCTACTACTGTATATTGACACATTCATTGCTTTTTTAAAATTATTTTTTATTGAACCACTGTGAGATACGGTTACAAAGCTTTCCATGTTTGAGATTCAGCCATACAATGATTGAACACCCATCCCTCCACCAGTGCAAACTTTGCACCACTAATGTCCCCATTACACTCCCACTCCACCTCAGTCCTCACCCTGTCTCTATAGCAGACAATTGCTCAGATACTCTCTCTCTGTTTGGGGGCATTATATTTTGCTCAAATTTTCCCCACCACCTTTCAAGCCTGCCTTTCAGGAGCAGAAGCTAGATCACTTATTTTCCATTGTTCATTTTGCATATCATGAAAGGTCACACAGCTGCGTTAGTGGTAGCATGCTTCTGAAGTTCAAAAATTATAAATGGTTGGGTTCTGGAGACATCTCTGTAGGGAGCTATTACATTTTGGGATTCAATTGCGAATTTCTGGGCCTGGTTCTACTGCCACCATGCGATTTGGAGATTTAGTCCTGAAACTCACAAACTGGGGCAGGAAGGCGGGGGGTGGGCCTTGATTTTGTCAGCTCATGGTCACTGGGATTTCATCTTAAGAAGGCAGGGATTCTGAACCTGCTCCATCTGGGGTGCCCTGGTGAAATTAGCTTGATATGGGGCCCGGAAAAATCTCTGGTGCTGTGGTCTCCGGGACTCATTGCTGCTGTGTCTCATTGCTATGCTTTTTTATTTCTCTCTCTCCACCCCATTATAATTGCAAATAACCCTCCATTGTTCTCTAGTTTAGAACAGGTCCTCATTTTTTTCTAATTAGAAAAGGAAAAGTCTAAACTTTTCCTCTCGCAGAAACTTCATAGCTGCTACTATTCTACAGAATTCTAACAGATAATTTAGTTTGTGTGATCTCTTTTCATAGCTTCATTTACTGTTTATATTTTACTGACATGAAAATTTATGTGTATGAATTAACTTTATATCTTTCTTAAAGCTATGGTTTTAATTTTTCACTTTATACTGTTTATTCCCTTTAATTTCACATGTATTTCTTTTCTTAGTAATTGGTACCATCATATACTCAATTCCTCAAATCATAAACCTAGGGATCATTTTTTATATCTCTTTACCCCTGTCCTCCCTTCAGAATTTTAATAGGAACTTTATACACAGAATTGCCCATGAGAAAGTATGATTTTAACTCCAGTATATTCCAGTGATATAAAAATCAGTGCAGTGAAAATTTTATTTATTCCTGCTAGGGTAATGAGACATATAATTGAGTTTTAGAGAGATTGATTGCCCATGTCATAAGCCATCCAAATATTTGCATGGGCTTTACCTTTCTGTACCAGGGATGGGAAATTCTTGCCTGCATGTTATTAAAAACATGTCAAATTATGTGATCTGACTGTGGTACTTGATGGGACAGACATATGTGCTTCTCAAATGCTCCCTCAGTCAATCTGCCAAAATTGCATGATGCACGAGTTAAAAATATCTAAGTGACCCTTAACATAAAAGTTTTTCTATCTCTGGTAGATTAGTGTTGTCTAAATCAAGAGACCAATGCCAGAAAAAAAAGGAAGATAAGAATGTAGTTCTGGACCAGATTAAAAATAAATAATTACAAACAAAAGCTGTAGTACTCCTAACTTACAGTTTTCCATGAAATGAATCCATAAAACATACTCTGTTAGGTCGCCAGGTGCTCTGTCTCCCAAACTTCCAGCATGGTATTTGGAGCTGCTTTTTATGGCTGGTCAGCTGATTTTCTCATCATTTCTTAGTCCTAGCAATGAAAATAATTGTAAACTTATAGCTATAGAATAATAAGGGACTTCATATGATTGATCTATGAAGTAGAAATTTAATGTTTATCTAGTGTCTTAATAACCTGAAGCACATATGTTTGAAAAAATATAATGATCTACTTTAAAGTAGTTATGCATCTAATATTTTTTAAAAAATCATCTCACTCTTTTTTTTTAAGTTTTATTTATTGAATCACCATGAGAACAGTCACAAAGCCTTTCAGTTTAAGTCTCGTTCAGTTATACAATGATCAAACACCCATCCCTTCACTAGTGCACATTTTCCACCACCAAGAACTCCAGCATAGCCCCCTTTCCAACCCAACCCCCCCGCCTGTGTAGCAGATTTCCAATTTACTCTCTCTCTGCATTTATCACATTCAATATTATGACAAAAGACCCAACATTATTATTTGGAATTTTCCCCAACAT